TCTTCAGGGGCTTCGCATTTCTTTTTGATGATGAGATGGGAAGACGGGCCGCCACCCCCGGCACTGCACGTACGGTGTTGAATTCGTGGGGATTTGCCCCCCCGCGGCCCTTATGATAGGAGCTGCGGAGGGTGTGAGGCCTTATGGCGGTCCTCACTGGTGAGGCCTATGATGGTCCTGACTGGTGGGGGGGGGGAAGAAGAATGCTTGAGAAGGGCAGCGAGGGAAACGAAAACAACCGTCCAAGCACGAGAGAACCCGCTATCAAAAGGAGCGGCTAGTCCACAGGCGGAGAGTCATGCCGCACCCGCCGCCACATCACGGCGTCACGCCCCCGTCGAACACCTCGCCGCTATCCCCCATGGGCAGCCCTTTGAGAGGCAGCACCGGTCCCACGTACGTGCATCCCAGCACTCGTGCAGCTACGCCGACTCACACTGGGTAGTTCAGTCGTGGTCGTCGTCGTCGCCGACGTCGTGGTCCTCGACGTCCGTTGTCGGTGCTAAGATCGTGGGGATTTGCCCTCGCGGCCCCGTTCATGGAAGCTGTGGAGGGTGTGAGGCCTTATGGCGGTCCTCACTGGTGAGGCCTATGATGGTCCTGACTGGTGGAGGGGGGGAAAGGATACCTGAAAAGGGCGGTGGGAGCAACGAAAACTACCGTCCAAACCCAAGCACGAGAGAACCCACTATCAAAGGAGCGGGCGGTCCACACGCGGAGAGTCACACCACACACGCCACCTCGCGGCGTCACGTCCCCGTCGGACACCTCGCTACTATCCCCCCGGGAAGCCGTTTAAGAGGCAGCACGAATCCCTCGGACGCACCCCTCCGCATTCGTGTAGCTACGCCCACTCCGTCAGGTCCACGTCGGGCCGTTTGCAGAGTGGGTCTCGTCGTTTTCCTGACGGCCCCGTCAGGCCAGTGCGAGTCTCCAGTGCCCGAGCCTTTTTCGTCTCCCCGATCTGGACTCGGAGGAGGGGAGGTGCTGATACCGCTCAGAGGGGGGCGGGGTGAGACAGCGGTAGCTGGCCTCTGGGTAGGGGGGGGCCTCGTCGCTACAGATGGACGCAGCTCGGGCAACTGGTGCGCTTGGACCGTGTTGAGCGGCCCCACAGGAGGAGAACGCATAAATGCTCGCGTCGTGACAAAATTCACGACGGAGGATGTTCGGCCGTTGTCGGCCTCCAGGAGCCCTCGCCAGGCCCCTTGGCCAGCGAACAACAATTCGCGATCAAAAGACAATAGACAGGGTCCGTCCAGGTCTCCGACAATTTGATGTTTGCAATCTGGGCGTTTTTCTTTTGATGTCGGAGGAGCAAAAGATACAGATACAGGGGGGGTCGAGGCTCGACGTTTCGGACGTTGTCGTCGGATCTCGTCGGCTCTCCAGCCTCTGGATGCCTTCCAGCGGCTGCGCCTCGCTGAGAGCGTTCCGGGGCTGCCCGGGTCGTCCCGAACGCCCGCCGGAGACCGCCGGAGACCTGAGTTAGAACCCAAGCCATCAGCGACGAACCCAAGATTCGGCCCTAGATTTCGGCTCTCCGGGTACGTTTTCGGCCCCAGGACCATCAAAAACGGACCTGGGCGGAAAACTGGTCCCAGGAAGGGGTCGGGAGTTTTCGGGCCGCGGATGCAAGCCATCGGGCCGCAGGGTGTCTTGGTTGGAACTCGGCAGAGAGGAGGAGATTCCGATGCCGCTGCTTGCCCTAGATAACCCTCGTCGCCATGGCTGGGTTCTCCTCGGGATTCAGGTCAGGGCGCACCCTGGAGAGGTCGGGGGGAGCAGCGGTATTAGTATATCTATTGGAATTCCCAACGAGAGCTTGAGAGAGCGGGTCCACTGGAATAAAAACAACAAAATTCTGAGGTCCGCGCGAATTTCTCGAATGGGCTCTGTACCCCCCTCCTGGGCGCGCGGAGCGCGCCAGGGGCAGCGCCGATGGCGCCGCCACGGAACTCCAGCGCCGATCCGAGGAATCCGCGCAGACCTCGGAGTTTTTAATGTTTATGTCATTGCTTGTTCCCCCGTGTAGGTCCTCTCTCGTGTTCCACGCTCTTGCTGCCGGACGATTAGCGATGCCGTTGCCAGGCTTGCCCGAGCGCGCGTGCGGACTGCCTCTGCCGCGCTGCGACGTAAGAAGCTCACCAATGTAAGAAGAGAGGTCCTTCCGCCGCTGTCGGGCCCCCGGGGGAAGCTGGAGAGCTGGAGCCCGGGGAAAGCCACGGGGTCCAGGGCTTGTCTTTCCGCGAGGACGCAGCCTGGGAGAAGTCCGGGGAGCAGCGTTTTAATCGGCTACGCGTGCCCGTCGGGAGCAGCGTTATCGTCGGCTTCGCGTACCCGTACTTGTGGGCGCCCAGATCCAAATCTATGTTGGGCGCCTTCCTACTTCAAGAGTCGAGGTGTTGTCCCTCTTCCCTCCTTTTTCTGGAGTCGGGCGGAAACCCAATCTACTCCCAACGCTTTCCTTCTTCATGGTTATAGTCACTTCTTCCGACCGACGGGTTAGAGTGATCCTTCACCAGAGTGAATTTTCGTGCGGACCCAGAGGGGTCGCCCCTATAATTGGCTTGCGCGCTTGGATTTGGCCACCCCGCAGTCCCCTAAAGCCGCGCACCAAGAGGTAAATCTTGCCTAGGGTCACCCCTGCGTGCAGCCGATATCGGTAGCTGTCTTCACCATCCTCACAACCATCCTCACCGCCATCAGGCCAGGGTAAGGTGGCTCTCCCAGCGTACCTTCTCTATGGGTGGGGATGGGTCTCCCGACGCCCGAAGGGGGTGGGTGGGGGGTGGGGACGCCCCCCCGCCAAGCGGGGCCAAGGTTCACCCCCCGGTGGAGGTGGGGATTACACGCCAGTCGTTGGAAGGTTGTATTTTGGGATACTCTACTTTATTTAGGCGTCTTCCTACTTCAAAAGTCGAGTGGTATTCCCTCTGCCCTCGTCCTCAGGGGGGGACTGACGCCCAATCTACTTTCAACGCCTTTCTGCTTCATGCTGCTACCCACTTCTTCCGACCGACCCGGATGTTTGTCCCCCCCCCGGGTGCCCTCGGTCCGGGCAGGCAGGCAGGGGCCCTGCGACAGACGGCCCTGCGAGCAAGGCGAGGGGGAGGTCGTGGGCGAGAAACGCATCCGCATCCACGGCTTCGCGGGCTGGACTCCTGGGCCGCGACCCCGGATACGGGGCGTTGTTTCGCAGATGCCCCGCTCGGAACGTTCCCGTCCGACCGCGTATCCGCGGGATCGCGCCCGGGACGCCTGACCGCGAGGGCGTGGACATGGGACACGGATATGGTCGCCGCTCGTGAGGGGGCATCTGTCTTCATTATGGGGTTGCCCATTTCGGGCCGCCCTCGCGGCCACTGCTGGGCGCGGCTCGGAGAACTGGCCAGGATGGTGCCCAGTTGGCTGTACGGGGTGTGGGCCAGTTGAGAGCGGACGTTGGCCGTCGTCGTCCCCCTCATCCTCCTCTTTCACCTCGCCTTCCTGGCTCCCTGGCCCAGGAGCCCTCGTCGTCGCCACGGCTGAACGCAGCGTGAACAGTTGGCCAGTATGGACCCGAGGAACTGGATGTCTGGAATTCGTTTTGAGCGGAGGGAGCCATCCGCTCCTCTCCCCCCCTTTGTCCCGACCCCTGCCTCCGCTCCTCCATTCCGTCTGCTCTCGCGACCTCCTCCTCCCCTTTTTCTCCCATAGCCTCTCGTTCCACCTCCCCCGCCTTCTCCTCCTCCTCCTGACGGTGTTGGCCTGTGACCTTCGTCGTGGGCCAAAATCGGCGGCGAGCCCGTGGGGGAAGTGAGAAGGAGAAGGTCTTCTCAGTCGGCTCGGAGGTCCGCCAGCCTTCTGAGAAGTGTTCTGAGTCTCCCCCGAAGGCACCGAAACTTACTCAGAAGGCGCGAGGCCTTTGAGAAGCCCCGCCGCCTTCTGAGAAGGCCTTCTCCTTCTCCCTTCCCCCCCCTCGCCGCTCTCTAGGCCTCGTAGATGGGGTCCGAGTAGATGGGGTCGGAGGATCGCGCCGCATAGCCGATGCATCGCCGATGCGGCTCGAAGTGCACCCCAATTTGATTCACGTCGACGTCGCCGATGCATCGCCGACGTCGACGATACATCACCGGTGCATCGCATCGGCGATGCGGCGCCATCCTCCGACCCCACCTGCTCCGACCTCATCTAGGAGGTCTCTACTCTCGCCGACGCCGACAAAGCTTCCGAGAGATGCCTTCGACGAAACGCTCGGTTTCCCGCTCGCACGGGTGCCGTCCCGCGCTCGATGTCCGCCTCCGCCCTCGCCCTTCGGGGAGCAAAGGTCGGCTTTCCGGCGCAGGGCTCGACCTAAACGGTGTTTTGACAATCTCGTAGACCGACTTCGTTTTGACATCGTTTTGCAGCAAAGGCGGAACGAATGCAGAACGAGAGGAGACGAAAACACAACGAGAACGAACAACACCGTTTAGGTTGACCTTCATTGGGCGTCGCCGAGGAAGGCCCAGAGAATGTCGTCATAAGGCTGGGGGACTTCTGGGCCGTCAGAGAAGGCCCGCCCCCTCTCACTTCTCGGAGAAGCGCGAGACTGACTCGAGCGCGCCTGAACTCGGGTCTGCCGACGTTTTCTGACGAGCGGGTCCCGGATTTGGGCGGTCCAGTTTTCGCGGGATGTCTGCAGCGGGAGTTCGCGTCAAGTTTCGGACGGGTTCTCGTCATTTTCATGATGGCCACGTCAGGCCAACCCGAGTCCCCCGAACCAGAGTCTTACCCGTCGGTCGTTGAGAGTTGGTATTTTTGGATTCCCGGATCCCAATCTACTATCTAGTTCCAGCGCCTTCCTACTTCAAGACACGGCATGGTTTTGACGTGTTTTGTTGTTCTTTGGGAGGGCTTGAACCCAATGCACCATACCCACCTTCCTAATTCATGTTGTTATCTACTTCTGCCGGCCGACGTGCACGTCTCCCCGAACTTCCTCCCCGGGCGCGCCGCCAAGAGGGGCCGCCCGCGAGGCCATGGCCGACGAGCAGGAGCGGGAGCTGCTGAGGGTGTCGCGGGCCACCAGCCCCTTCGCGGCGCCCGGCGCTCGGCGCGGCCGCGTGCCCCTCGGCGCCGCGCCTGCGCGCCAGAAGCCGTGGGCGGGGAGCAGTTCCACGGCTTGCAGTCGGACCGAGGCGTGAGATCGAGGTCGGTTCGGGGAGGGTGCCTTGGTGTTTGTTTCGTGCTTGTTGGATGTTCTTGTGCGGGTACCCTTGGATGCTCTGTCTGTTTGGGCCTGTGGAGGCTCACATGCTCCCGAAGGATGGTATTCTGCCTGATTCGCCCTGATACGCCCGTGCTGAAACGCAGCACGTGCCGTGCTCACAACGTCCGTGCTAGCACGCTGCAAGTCGGCCCGCCACGCGTGGGTCACGTTCTGGCGAGCGTGTCGCGCCAGACCGACGTCTTCAGTCTGCGCGTTGGGCTCCGCGTCAACACGCTCGGGGCAGCCGAGTTCCACGGATAGCCGAGGAGGGCGAGCCGAGACAGCGGCAGTTGGCCTTCGGGTGGGCCCCTCGTCGCCACGGCCCGACGCAGCTCGGAGAGCTGGTGCGCTTGGACCCCGAGAGGGGTCTGGGGACCGACTGTGAGCTGAGCTGCCGTTGTCGCAGCTCGCCCTTCCCCGAATGGGCGGGGAGCACATCCAGGACGAGGGGGGCAGGCCTGGCGGGAGCGTTCTCGCTTTGGGATGCCCTCTTGCCCCCAAGAGCGCCCAGAGTGCGGCGCTACGGGCACCTTGAACAAGGTTCACCATTCCAATGCAGAGGACACTGAGGGACTTGAGGACGCTTCACTTCGTGCCTCGAGGCACAGGGGCGGATATGCGTACATGGGTACTTACCATGGAAAGCATAATGATGATGTCACAGTTGCAGCAACACGTCATTCTCAAATACTCTTGCCAAACCTGTCATCCGCAATTCCGCTGGAAGTCATGCTGAGCTGATGCTCGCCCCATTCCCCCACCCCGAACCTCCTTGTCGGCTGCAAGTCGGTGCACGGAACAATTCTGCAGTTCCTCATCGCAGAAGTTCTCCTGTGCGGGTCGGTTGTCTGGCGTTATGATTCGGCTCGCGGAGTACCTTGCATTGGAAGAGGCCCTATTCCGCGCACGACATGTGTGCACCGTACCGTGTCGGCGCCTCTGGGGGCTTCGCCGATCCTCGACTCAGGAATGGTACGGTGCATATTTTTCTGGCCCTCAGAGCCGAACAACAACTGTGCACCGTACCGCGCTGGAGCGGGGCCTGACGGGAGTCCAGACACGGCACGGTGCATGGGCGCCGATCTCGTAGCCATTGCCAGGACGAGTCCCGGCACCCCCGGACATTCCAGGCCACCGCCTCCTCTGACACCCCCGCTCGCATGTTGCCGCGGGCGCCTCTCGACCTTGACAAGGTTGTTTTTTCTATGGTTCTTCGTGCAAAGAAAAGAAGCAGGTGCCATCGGATTGCTTTACATACAGAGCGTCAGCGAGAGCGCTCGGCGTCCCTAGCATGAGACACGGTGATCCGAGGCTGGGCCTGGCAGCAGCCGAACTCCAGGAGGGTCCCGCGGGAGTCCGGCGCATCTTCCGCAAGCGCTCGCTGGCTGTGCATCCGGACAAGGCGCTCGCCCGCACCAGAGGGGAACGTGGGACGAGATCGGTCGGGACTCGGGAGGGATAATAACGAAGACGGGAAGGTTGCATTGCCAGAAATTGTCCGAGCTCTGCGCGTAGTTCTCGGATCGGAGCTGGGCCTCCGTGGCGGCGCCTTTGGCGCCGCCCCTGGAGCGCTCCGCGCGCCAGGGAGGGGGGGTGAATCGCCAATCCAAGAAGTCCGCACGGACCTCCGAAGGACCTCCGAAAGTTCCACGAACAGCGCTTGCACTAAGGTGTTCTTAGATCGTTTCGAAGGAGCCAGGCCTGCGGGCCGCTCTGGCCGCCATGTGGCCGCCGTTGCCGCCGCGTCGCCGCCCGTCGCCGCCCGTCGCCTGGGCCTGCAGGCCTCTCTGGTCGCCATGTGGCCACCTCGTCGCCACCCGCCGCCTCGTCGCCGTGCTTCGCATTGCTTCGCGTTGCTTAGCGTTGCTTTACATTGCTTCACTTTGTTCTGCATCTGTTCGCATTGCTTCGCATTGTGCTTGTATTGCTTTGCATTGCGTTGCATTGCTCGACATTGCTTGGGACATTGCTTTGCCTTTCATTGCTTTGAGTTGCGTTGCGCTGTTTTGCATTACTTTGCACTTCTTCGCATGTATCTGCATTCATGTGCATTGTATTACTTTGCATTGCTGTGCGTTGCTCTGCATTGGTGCACATTGTTTTGCATTGCTTTGCGTTGGTTTTCATTGTGTGACGTTGAGTTGCGTTGCGTTGTATTGATTGGTATTGTTTTGCATTGCTGTGTGTTGCGCTGCATTGCCTTGCATTGCTTTGCGCTGCTCTTCGCTGCTTTGCCTTGCTCTGCGCCACATAGATTGGCATCACATGGATTACACCAGCTGGACTGCACCGCATAGCTTGCAAGAAACTGCTGTTTGGGGGCGACGTCGGCTAACATTTTCCCCTGGTGAAGGGTATAAGTAAGTGATACGCCCGTCGTCCTTCAAACTGTTCGGTTTACTAATTTTCCTTTTGCGCAACATCCATGGTTCGGCGGCGAGCCCGGGGGGGAAGTGAGGAGGGGCGGGCGTTCTCCTTCTGCGAAGTATTCTAAGCGTTCCCCGAAAGCGCAGAAGACATCTCAGAAGGTGCGAAGCCTTCTGAGAAGCCCCGCCGCCTTCTGAGAAGGCCTTCTCCTTCTCACTTCACCCCCTCGCTCGCCGTCGAATGATGCAACTGGACTGATGATGGGGTCGCCCCACGAGCGTGACAGTGATATTCGCTCTGCTCTCCGAGGGACGCCGGGAGCAGAGACAGAACGGAAAGGGTGGAACGTCATGGAATGGACGCATTAATCGAGGGATTCGCGGAGTTACGGATGCTAGGGCGTTGCGCAAGAACGTCCAGTCTGAAGGTCGTTAGCGCCGAGACGAAGGGGACGCCGAACTAGAAGCAGCACAGTTCAAGGCAGTCCTGAGCACTGCACAGCATCGCAATGCAAGTGAATCGCACTGGAATGAGGCTCTTGTTCATTGTAATACAGCGCAAAACAATGCGAATCAACGCAGCGCAATGCAATACAAAACAGTGCAAACAACAACAAAGTGTAAATGTAACATAGATTGATAAGAGGCCTGTCCCAGGGGTCCAGTGGCGGTGCTGAGCACGCCATGGCCAGTGGCTTACATTGCGTCTGCGATTCGTTCTTCTTGTCTCTTTGCTGAGGCAGCATTTTCGGCGACATTCTCGTGGCGGCTACTTGCGGTCACTGCACTTTAATTGTGCAGCGAATTTCGGCGACTCCTCTACGAGAGTTGCATGGTTGGATGTTTGCGTTGAGGAAAGACTTAGGCAAAGCCTGATTCGGGGATGCCCATCAAATACTGCCTCGCCTATATTGAGCCCTCGGGCGACCGATCCGCCCGCTGATTTAAAGGAGGCGTCCTCACGAGAAGAGGGCAGCGCAGACATGGGCGGCAGGATCCATTTTGGAATTGTCGTGTCCTCTCTAGCCTCCCCAACACCACGTCGCCCCCCCTTCTTCCCCCAATCCGTCCCCCTTCGGCTCCCTCATCGCCCCCCTCCCTCGAAGGAGAGAAACGGCAGGGGCGAAAACTTTCGGAGGTCCGCGCGGATTCGGGAGATTCCAGGGCCGATCCAAGAAGTCCGCGCGGACCTCCAGACAGATGAGTGACACGCGTCGTCTTGCAACTTGCGCGTGCTACTCATTCGATTTTTGCACACAAGCCATGGGGGGCATCTCCAAGACTGACTAACGTGCAAATGGGGTCGCCCGACCGGCTCTTCCTACTCTGCCGTTTTTGGGTTCCTCTGCTGCTGTCCTCGGGGAAGGAGCAGCCGCCACCACCACCGGGGGGGCCACCTGAAGTGACGAGGTCCACGATGCCTCCTCTTTGGGCTGGGGATAAGAAATGTCTCGAGCGAGAGGAGGGGGGGACCACACCACCGGGGGGACCCTCCATGGCTCCCGCTCTGTTCCCTGGTGGTGGTGCCGCTTTTCCTTGTTCCTGTTTCATCCTCTTAGCTGCCCTGATACGCCCGTTTTGAAACGCAACACGTACCATGTCCAGAACGTCCGTGTTAACACGGACGTTCTGATTACGGTACGTGTGTGCTGGCTCAATGTGTTGGCCTACGTTTTGGCGCACGCATTGCGCCAAGCGTACGCGTTCAACCTCCGTGTCGAGCTCCGTGTCGGCGCGCTACGGGTTGCGTGCTGCGCATCGGGGCGGCTGTTCCCTCCTTTTTTCTTTCTGCGGGGATTGAACGTCGTCTTTTGTCTTCCTCCTACTCCTCCTCCTCCTCGTCCTCCTGCTCCTCCTCGTCCTCTTGCCCCTCCTCCCGCCACTCCAGTTACGGGTTACGCGTTGCGTGTCGGGGCGGCTAAGTTCCTTTTGCGTCGGCCTCCTCGCCGCTCTCCGAGCCGCGGCCCGCGTCCAGGTGGCGGAGGCGAGCAGGGCGCGCTCCGTGGCGGCGTTCGCCAAGCTGGAGGCGGCCTGCTCGGCAGTGGAGGCTCCAGGGGGGGGGGGGATCGGCGGCGAGCGGGGGGGGGGGAAGTGAGAAGGAGAAGTGAAGGAAAACGATTCGGGAGGCACGTGTTGAATAAAAGGCTTCGGATGTCTGGGTCTGTCTGTCTGTCGATGAAAGGCTCTGATCGACGGCGGGCGAGGAGGGCAAGTGAGAAGGAGAAGGCCTTCTGAGAAGTTTTCTGAGCCTTCCCAGAAGACACGGGGAGCCTCTCAGGAGGCGCGAGGGCTTCTGAGAAGCCCCGCCGCCTTCTTCGGCCTTCTCCTTCACTTTCCCCCCTTGCTCACCGCCTAGGGGGGGGAGTCAGCGGAGGGGCCCTGGCCGTGCTCCTGGTGCTGAACGAGCAGCACGCACCCATACCCAGAGTCAGGAGCGAGGGACGTCCACGTACATGAGTCCACGCTGGTTTGGAGAGTACGCATTGCGCGAATATTTGTATGACGCGGTCGGTCTCGCGGGTCGATGGGCCGTGTTTATGTAAATGGTTGGGCGCGTATGTCTTGTGTGTGGTGGCTCCCTAAGTAGGGGGGACAAAGGGATCTATGGGTGCGTGCTGTTTGATGGTGTCTCCCGCTTAGACGGGGGCCCCACCCGGGGCCTGACAACCCGCACCCATACCCACAGCCAGTCCTTCTCCCTCCGACCCCCCTACATGTGGATATGGGTGCGTATTGTTCGCTCATCGCTTGGATTCTATGGCCGGGAACTTTATGTGTGGCGCCGTTGGTTCTGGCCCACCACGGTTCGGTGCGACATCCCATCCACGTCCCAGTCCCCCAGGCGTCAACGTCCCAAGCTTTTCACCGCCTTCCGCCCCGCGGAGCGCAGCGACACGCTATCCGCTCGCAGGGCATAGCGTGTCGCCGGGGCCGCCGCCGCGACACGCTAAGGCAAAGTTCCCGACCGTAGGGTTCGGAGGATCGGGTCGCATCGCCGATGCATCGGCGATGCGACTCCATATGAATCCCGATGTTCTCCATCGCCGACGGCGCTGATGCATCGGCGATGCGGCACGAATGTCCGTCCCCGTCTACTCGGACACCCTTTGGGAGGCCTCTACGGGTCGATGAAGGAGAGCCCGCACATATATATATATATATATATATATATATATATATATATATATGTATATATATATAGATATGTTCGCAGCTCCGCGCGGATCTCTTGGATCGTCGCTGGGGCCCCCTTGCGGCGCCTCAGGCGGCGACCCTTGCACGCTCCGCGCGCCGAGAAGGGCGCTTCTGCGCCGATTCAAGAGATCCGCGCGGAGCTCCGATCGTTTCCGTATATGATGCTTCTGTCTGGGCCAGCGGAGGATTCGATAGCCCCATCGGGGCTTCTGGCTGAAGATTCTCGTTGTGGTTGTTCCCAGTTGGGACCGCGCCATCTTCTTCATCCAATGGCTCGCGTGGCATCGTAGTGCGTGCACGGTTGCACTGCCTGGATGCTTCCGCCTTCATTCAGCCCTCTCCATGGCCAAAGCAATCATCACATCGAGTCCGTGTTCCAGGTAATCTGGGTGAGAACGATCTGGGATCATTTGCAACGGAGTCCAGGGCGGACGACCCACTGTCTTCCATTGTGGCTGTAATTGATTTCTCAAATGCCTTGGCTCCAGCGATCTTCAATTAGGGATTTGCTGATCTTAGTAGAGTCTTGAATGAGACATGTTATTCATTGAAGTCTTGTCGTGAGGTTTGGGTCCTTTGCATCGGTTTTCATCATCTGGCTGGACAGGGTAGTCCTCCGGATTGCCTGCACGGCGATGCTGGTATGTTTGATTTGTTAGCTTAATGTGTATTGCAGCCACCACGGCCAAATGACGATAGTTGTTCGCAAGCCTCACAAGGTGCGACATCGAGCTGACCGATAGTCGAAGATGTGCACGAAGAGGGGATGCAGATTCGAGCACTCACCGTCATAACCTCGCAGGCCTGGGTAAGAAATCCGTCCACAATGGCTTGGTCAAATGAAGAGTGCGTTGCGCTGGGTCGTCCTTTGCATGTGGAGTCGTTGCCAAAAATCGAATCGCCGAGTTCCAGACGGATGACAGCATGGATTGATCTATTGTTCGTGCAGGATTTAGTTCAGGCGATGCCCGAATTAAATCCACAGGGAGCTTCACTCTTGCGATGCAACTGCATGTTGAATATCAACGTTCGTATGGCAGCACCTATGGGCCATGCTCTGTGGATGACCAGAACGTTGATGCCAAGTGGGTATCAGACGCCACGGCGTTTGCAGTAGTGTTGGACATAGACTGTTCTCGCATATGATTTGAGGTGGACGTCGCGAGGATGTCTGGGTCTTCTGTTTGAGACATCAGCAGCGATACGCCTTATTGCTCTATTGAAAAAGGCCCTACGGCCGGTGCCGCCGACCCTGAAGACGACGACGATGACGACGAGGACAAGGAGGAGGAGGGGGGGGGAGGGGGGGGGCAGCAGGAGGAGGTAGGAGGAGGAGGAGGAGGAGGAGAGGAGAGGAGGAGGAGGAGGAGGAGGAGGAAGAGGAGCTGGTAGGGGAGGGGGGATGTGGAGGAGGATGAAGAGCAGGAGCAAGGGTTGGGGAAGCAGGACGCGGATGCGGAGGAGAAGGTGGCGGCAGAGGAGCCAGGAGGAGACGCGGAGGAAGACGAGGAGGAAGACCAGGATAATGAGCCATTAGGAGGACGAAGGGCATGAGAGTTGGAGGAGTATGTAAAGGAAGAGGACGGCGAGGAGAGCAAGGAGGAGGAGGAGGGCGAGGAGGAGGAGGGGCAAGTGCAGGGAGAGGATAAGGATGAGCATGATGAGGAGGATGAGGAGGATGGTGCTGATGCTGCTGATGATGATGATGAGGAGGAGGATGAGGATGAGGAGGAAGAGGAGGAGGTTGCGAAGGAGGGGGATGAGGAGGAGGGGCGGAGAGGGAGGAGAAGGCGGAGCATGAAGAGGATGAATCTGATGATGATGCTGATGATAACGATGACGCTGGTGATGACGACGATCATGCTGAGGATGATGCTGATAATGCTGATGATGCTGCTGATGATGATGGTGGTGGTGATGGTGATGGTAATGGTGGTGAGAAGGATGATGACTATGCTGGTGATGCTGATGATTAGTGTAGTTTATGCTGATGGTGATGATGCTAATCATCATGCTGCTGATGATGACGATGATGACGATGCTGATGATGACGACGATGGTGATGATGCTGATGATGATGATGATGATGATGATGATGAACAAGATAATGATGATGTTGATGATGCTGATGATGATATTGATGATGGTGATCACGCCTCCCCTTCATCCCCTTCCCCTCCCCCTCCAGCCGCCTCGTCTCTTCAGATCGTCGTCTGGAGGCCGATTCTGGGCTCCGGGGCCGTCAGAGAAACGACCCGGGTGTCTGAGTCTTCCATTCGGGACATTAGCAGCGAGAAGGATCTATCGATAGAGATTACATAGCAGCTGCGCGTAGCCGTATCTAGGAGTTCTTGGACCTCACAGAAGAGAACCTCAACAATCAAATGCGAAGCTGTGTGATGCATCAACGTTGCATGGACTTCGCAATAGATCAGGAACATACCTGTGTGGCGCACGTGTGCGTGGCGGCCCTTTTACCTGGAGGGCGAACCCTTCACCCAGACAATTTCCTCTTCGCGCAATCAGGGGGAGCTGTAGGTAAGGGTCGGATTGTCGGACAGTTTTCGTTACACTTCTCTTGTTTTGTTCCTCTTCCTCTATCGCCCCCTCCAGAAAAAGACCGTTTCGATGCCTGCGCCATATCGGAAGAGACTATCCAGTTGCCTTTGGCACTTCCGCTTCTGTGCCAGCGCAGCATTTTGGGTAGCGGTGGCTCGAGAAGGCAAGGGGTCTGCTTTGGGCCTCTTGGGGCATACGGCCCGAAGTCTGGTGTCGTGTTCCCACTCTCGGGCCCTTCAAGCCGCCTTGGGGAGCTCTTGGTCAGTCGTGGGCGCCGATTTGGCCGTCTTGGAGCCCTCTTGGACTGTCGTGGAGCTCTTTTTGGGGCCTCTTGAGCCGTCTCGGGGGGGTCCTGGGGGCCTCTTTGGCAGTCCTGAAGCGTCGGAGGCTCGAAAAGGCGAGAACCCAGACAACACAGACAAAAACAAATAATGGATCAACGGTGATTATTTCTTGGGGCCCTTTGTGGAGCCTCTTTTGGCCTTCTTGGGGCCTCCTGATCCCTCATGGGGCGGAAGGCTCGAATGGTCGGATCGTGTTCACCCTCTTGGGCCTTCCTTGGGGCCGCCTTAGGGCTTGGGTATTCTTGGGTGCCGCTTGTGCAGGCTTGGAGCTGTCTCAGGGGCCCCTTGGGCCGTCTTGGGGCAGTCTTGGTGGCCTATTGTGTCGCCTTGGGACGTCAGAACCTCGGAGAGGCGAGAACCCGAAACATTGTGAAGCATGTGAGGAACATACATGATTTAAGCTTCTCAGGTCCTCTAGGGAAGGCTCTTAGGGGCTCTCTTGGGACGGCTGTGCGGCCTCGTGGACTGGCTTGAAGCCATCTTGGGCCGTCTTGGAGGCAACGTGTCGCATTTTGCCAGGGGTTGCGGCCTCGGGAAGAGGGGGCGATGCACGCGGGTGGGTACTTCGAGAGGGGGGGCCTTACAAAATTACAGAAATCCGACCAGAGACCTGAGCATTTTTCCACGCCCCAACGTGCAAAAGGCACGGTGGCGGATACTTTGAACTCGCTTGATGCATTTGGCCCCATGTGATCACGTGATGGCCAGATGGCCCAATCGGAGTTTGGTCATCCTCGTATCTCTTCAGGAGGAGTCCATGACTTTCACGAGGCACGCATGCTTCGCATCTCGAATGAGCAGTCTAGCGTCTAGCATGCCTTCTATGCACTAGTCCGCTTATGTTTCGATCCGGCGGCAAAACGCCATTCTGCACGTTGTTGTTTTCGTGGGGCAGGACCCGGGGTTGCGCGGATAAAGGAGTTGTCCTTGCCCAGCGTCAGTTGCACAT